GAAGAAATTAGTGAAAATCCTTCTTCCCTTGCTCTGTTGGTTGACGAATTTTCATATCTTATATTTGATATAATTGGATTAGAGGAACAAAGGATAAAAGATTGGCTTTCGCTTCCCCCTGAATATTGGTTTACCCAATCTGTTTTTAAAAACTTTCAGAACTTTGCCAAATCTTTAATTGTAGTAAATGATCATTCAGAAAGATCTATCTTTTACTATCACCAAATATTGTAATTTTTTCAATTCAAAATACAAAAATAATATTTTTTTAACAATACTATGATACCATATATTTTTACTCAAATATATAGGTAGAAATGAGCAACCCAAAAAAAAAAAAAAAATTTCAAACTTTTGTAATTAAACTTCCTTTTTGAAGATTTTTGAGAATTTTTTTTCTAAAAAAGTGGTTAGGGGGTAAGGATAAAGTGGTCCTGTTGAGCTCAATTTTTTTGGGAGTTTTTTTTTTTTAATATTTGCCCCAAATCTAGAGTGTATGGTATTTTAGATTTGAAAATTTCCTCAAATTGACTACCCCTAATATATATATATATATATATATATATATATATATATATATATATATATATATATATATATATATATATATATATATATATATATATATATATATATATATATATATATATATATATATATATATATATATTTATATATATATATATATATATATATATATATATATATATATATATATATATATATATATATATATATATATATATATATATAAATTATTACTTTGAAGTAGCTAATATAAGAAATGAACATAACAATTAAAAAGTTTCACAATAAAAAAAAAATTTTCAAGGATTTATTTTTAATTTTATTGTTGTTTAAAGTCCATGTTGTTTTTAATTAAAACTTTAAACCATAAAAATTGTTTAAAGATTTAAATTCAGCAAACAAAATTTATACAAATAAAAACAATATATAAAAATAATAAACTACACAATTTTTAGAAATTATTGATTACTTTATTTTAAACTCTTTTGCGTTATTTTTGTTTTATATCAAATGTTATTAAAAATGTTAATCAAAACAATTTTTGCTCTCTAAGAGTATTTTCAGAGTAGGAAAATGATAATATTTTTTTTCACTCATTAACTCTTTTTATTTCTTACAAGGTGAGAAAGAATTTTACATGTTAAAGGCGTTTTAAAGAAATTTGAATAAAAGAAAAATTAAGTTAACTGTTAAATACTTTTTAAAGTGAACATAAGTCATAAATATTTCTTGTATTCAATTTTTATAAAATATTTAATGATGACTTTATTTTAGGCCTTTTTGTAATAATTTTTGTTTACATATATACTTTTTACATATATGAGATTTAGGCAAACAAATTGTGAATTTTATGATTTTTTTTTTCCTAAAGAAGAACCTTTAAATTAACTCTAACTTAAGAAAAATAACAAACACACACAACTATAAAAGTCTCATCTAAAAATAGCCAAATTTATATAACCACCTTCAGCATTTATGAAGCAAGCATTCATCACACAATGAATTTAATTACTTTTTCTTATATTGTTTTATAGAAAGATTTTTTTAAATGTATAATTTTGCTTACCCTGCATTCTAGAGTATTTATCATAAAATCAGTTAAAATCAATAGATGTATATAAAAATTGCAATAACTAATTTTTTTCATAAACTTTTAAAATGCATCTATTAAAAGATAAATAGATGCATTTTAAAAGTTTATGAAAAATATATAATACCAGACATTTAGTCAAAATTTTTTTTGACTAAATGTCTGGTACTAATGAGGGTTTTTTATATCAATTATCTTTATAAAGCCATACAATAGCAGTACGCTGCTGAAAACTAAACTGAAAAAAGATAATTATATATATATATATATATATATATATATATATATATATATATATATATATATATATATATATATATATATATATATATATATATATATATATATATATATATATATATATATATAAATATATATATATATATATATATATATACAAGAGAGAGATATATATATACAAGTACAAGAGAGTACAGTTCCAAGACCATAACTTCAGACTTTCAAGACTAAAACCGTTAAACATGAATTTAGAGTCGATTTAAGACTAAGCCTAAAGTCTCCAGACCTACATCTCAGAAAAGTACTTGTATTTCTTTAGTAAACCCTATTCTTTGATTTGATAAGTCATTGGTTAACAGAACATTGAGTTAAATGTTTAGAACCTTGTTCTTCTCCTTATGACCTTTTGCTAGTCAGATTAAATAAGATTTTTTAAATCTTCTTCTTAAAGGTTATTCTCAAATTATGTGTCTGTTTTTATTTGAATTCTTATTGCCTTTTCAAATTCAAATTATAAAATCAAATTATATAAAAACAGTATCACACACTTGATTTTAGCAGATGGCAGTATTAATGGGTATGACAAGCTCAAGTGAGGTTAGCAAGTAAAGCTTAGCACATTTCTATATCTCTTCTCTATAATTAGCATTACCATTAGCAAGTTTTTTATATTAGGCAGGCCTTGCGATAAAGCGTCGGGCGATGTGAATTTTACGTCGTCCAAGAGCGATTTTGCGTGTAGCTAGGGCTATTTGCGTTGAGCAAAAAAATTTTTGTTTGAGTATATTTAAAGATATTTTTGAGCGGAATTTTAATGAAATAATTTACGATTATTTTAACATTTAATAAAGTCTTTTAAAAACCGCACGCAGTTGGTATTAAAATTTTGAATTACAAAAAAAAAAAATATGCTCATTATTTACAAGTAGAAAAATTTAGATTAAAAAAAGTTTAAATCTTTTTAAGCTAACATTTTAATAAAATTAATCAGCAATAGCAAAGTTGTCGATAAAATTGAACAAATTACTTTCTTTTAGTTTTAGATTTTTAACTTAAATATTTATTTTATGGGGGTTTGTTAGGTTTTAAAATTATTCCATAGATTTAAAAATATTTATTAACTGTTAGACGAATTTAAAGTATTTAAGAGTAATTTCGAGGAAACATTTTAAGGATTAATATTAAAACGTATTCTACTTAATTTAATAAAAAAGTACAGCTATTAAAATTTTTGTAAAAAGTGACTCGAAAAAAATTACTTAAATAATAACAATTGCTTTTTTTTAAAAAGTTACCAAAACTCAACGAAGCGTGCTCAAGAACAGCTGCTGAAAAATAGAACATCAATAGTTTTTCAAATAATTTTTAATAATAATTTTTAAGAATAATTTTTTCGCTGAAATATTTTTTTATACCTAAAAGATTTTTATTCTAACATTTTATTTTATTTTACCAAAAATAAAATTCCTTGTAAACATTAAAAAGCTATTCAAAATGTTCGTTAAAGTTTTTTAATAATACGAGTGATTGTGCTTATCAACCGATTTATGAAAATAAATAAAAATAAATAAATAAAAAGATATATAAAATCGCTAGTAAAAATATTAGCTATTGCACAGTTTTTAATTGTACAATATTAAAATTTCTAGTTTATTACTCTCTGACTTTTTAAAAAGAAAAAATAATTATTTGAAAAACTTATGTTTTTTATTCTTTTAGTATAGACAAAATGTGTCAAACGTCAAGAAAATAAACAAATGTTATTTTCTCGACAAAATATATATATATATATATATATATATATATATATATATATATATATATAACAAATATATATAACAAATATATATATATATATATATATATATATATATATATATATATATAATATATATATTTTAGACAACTTGGTCATGGCCATTAGCAAGTTTTTTATATTGCATATAGTTTTTTATGCGTCGCACAGTTTTTATTTATCACAAGGCAGAAAAAATAAAACTTTGATCTCTAAAAGTGTTTTTAGTTTTTTAAGGTTATAAAAAAAAAAAAAAATTAAAATTTAAAAAACAAAATTTTTTGGAACTTTAAGTTTGCTGTTTGTTTAAAAGGCATCCTTTTCAAAATAATCTCAAACTTTATTAAGTTCTAGTTACACAAATTTTTTATTATAAATTCAGTAGCACATATGCATAAATATAAACTTTATTAATGTGCATTTTTTATTTGCAATAAAGTTTACAATGTTAAAATTATCATAAAATAAATATAAATAAAAAAAAAAAAATTTTTTATAAATAACATTAACCTAGTCATTTGATTAGAAAAAAACACTTTTTTTTCTTAAAAGATACATCATATATATAGTGTCACTATGACATTTTTTTTTCTGAGGTGTGAGGTTTATAGGTGTCTTAAAGTTGTTTCAATTAAAGAAAAGAATTTAAGTTAATTGTTAAAAGCCATATAAAAGTGAACTCAAGACATAAATTTTTCTTGTGAACAATATTTATGAAATATTTATGTCTCAAAATCAAAATATTGTAATAAAGTCTATACAACCATTTTTATAATATTTTATTTATAATAATAAAAAAGACATTTGGTTCACAAAAAAACATTCATTTTTTATTACTTATGCAAACTTGAAAATTTTTAAATTATGGTTTGTTTCCTGAAAAAAAATCTTTTTATCAACTCTAATTTAAAAATAAAAACTAAAAATAAACATAAAAATAAAAAACAAAAATAAACATTTTAAAATAACCACATTCAGCAATAGAAAAGAAAAAAATGGAGATACAATGAATTTAACTTTTTTTTTTTGAATTTAGATAAAGAATATTTTTTTGAATTTCTTTAGAAAACATGCCTAACATTCTTAAACATACCGTTTATGTTTAAAATAATGTCTTATTTAATTCAAATAACAAAAATGTTAAACAATTAAAACTATAAATTATCAAAAATTATCAAAAATACCTTATTTACATTAAAAAATCTACTATTAACAAAAATACCTTATATAATTAAAATTTAAGTAAAAAGTTCTTTATTTTTTGTACATAATTGAACAACTTTTGTACCTGATTGAACACCAATCTTAAATAGGCTCACAATAACACAAGAAAGTTTTAGAACTTACCCAAAACAGAATACAAAATTAAAGATTCTTCATGGGATTTTTTTGAAGGATTCAGGTTACCAAGAAACATTATTAAACTGTTTTGGTTTTTATTGGCTAATCCACAAATCATTGATAAACAACTCTTCAGACTCTTATTGACCATAATCTCATCACTACTTAAACAATTATATGCATACACAGATGCACAAAACTCCATTATTGTCAAATGTGCGAATTGATAATAACTACCAAGATCTGTTTCAATCTTTTCTATAAATCCAAAATACTTATCTTCATTTTTATCAAAGTCACCTATAAAAGCATGAATCTCTTTTTTGGAAAAAACTATTTTATTGTTCACAAACATTTTATATGCAATTTTACAAATATTTAAAATATACTTTTTATTGGAGCTGTCTTCTATAATCTCATATACGAATTTGTTGTTTTTAAAAATGTGTTTTCGTATAAAGTACAAAAAAATATTTGCATACAAATCTGTCATTGTTAAAAAAGAATTTAAACCCATATCTTTTGAATCATTTATGATTTTACACATGGAAGATAAATAAAAAGGAATAGATGCCATTGCTTTTGCAATTGGAGATTCCTTTAAAATTGTTTTTATAACTTTTTTTTTTTCTTCCATAACATGGTTTTCTACATAATTATTAATTCCATTTTCATTAAACCCCATTATTTGAACAGTCAACTTATCACTATATTCTGTAGATATACTTTGGTATTGATCTATTGCATAAACTCTACCAGCAATTACATGATTGTACTTTAGAATTTCTGCTAAAACATTAACAATCGGGTAGTTACAAGTCAAACTTGGATTTAATAACTCGTTGAAATATTGAAACTCATCTAATCCATCAATTATAAACAGTGCAGTATGACTGCTTATGTTAAAGTTTACAATATCTTTGTAGAAAACATTTAGTAATTCATATATATTTGAAATATTTGAATATTGATTAAGTCTCCTGCATTCCAAATAAAAAACAAGTTCAATATTTTTCCAAATTAAACCATTTGACCAATCAAGCAAACATTTTCTAAGCAACCATGTTTTCCCAATACCAGCTATTCCAGATATTAATAAGACTGATTTTTCTTTCGTAAATATTTCACTATATTGTATTGGTGTATAATGCATTTGTTTTTCAAGGAATTTCTTTCGTTCAACACTTAAAACAGCAGCCTTTGAGCGTTCCACTTGAGCATTCACTGCATCAACAATACATAGATCAACAAATTTATGATTTAGATCAACATCTACAGATGATTTTATTAGTAGTTGATGTTCATTAATTTTCTAATAATATTTTAAATAATACTTTTTTAATTCCGCAGACGACCTTGACAAATCTAATTTAAAAAAAAAACAAAAAACATCTTTTTAAACCATTATCACGATTTTGACATATATATATATATCATTTATATATATATATATATATATATATATATATATATATATATATATATATATATATATACTCATATAGTGTCGCTTTAAGAGCATTTTAATGTAAAAAAAGTCTCTTACGACTACAATTTTAATTACCTCGTCTCTTAAGCTGTTTTTGATTGTCGTCGAAATGTCAAAGCAATTAATTTATGCGGAAGTACATTAAATTTAATTGTTTTTTAAAAAAATTTTAAAAAACCGCAATTATAACGACTAGAAAGTTTTTTTTAATTAGTGGTGTTTTTGTTATTGATTTAATAAAAAACAATTTTTAAACATGCGTAAATGTTGCTACATCGACTATCTTATAGCCTGACTCGCAACGGAGTGCTGCTACATCGACTGACAAATAGCCTGACTCGCAACGGAGTGCTGCTACATCGACTGACAAATAGCCTGACTCGCAACGGAGTGCTGCTACATCGACTGACAAATAGCCTGACTTGCAAGGGAATGCTGCTACATCGACTGACAAATAGCCTGACTCGCAAGAGAGTGCTGCTACATCGACTGAGGGTTTGGTTTGGCCAGGCAGTCTATCAATTAAAAAAAAAATTTAATATTTAAAACTTTTTCTGGTCTGGTTTATTAACGCGCTCTTTAAAACTACAGTTTATGGGAAATATTTTTTGATGCTACGCAAGAGACATGCAAGACTATATATATATATATATATATATATATATATATATATATATATATATATATATATATATATATATATATATATATATATATATATATATATATATATATATATATATGTTCATTAATTTTCCAATAATATTTTTGATAATACTTTTTCAATATATACTATAAAAACATGGATGTAAACATGCTAAAATATATATATATATAGCGAGGAACAATAACAAACAGTATATACTTCAGCATGTTAGGATAATCTAACCTGACACTATATATAGATATATGCAGTTATTAAATTTATTGATTTATTAAGTGTACGTGTTACCCAGCAATTTATTATTTTGTTATTGAAAATTATTTATTGTACCAATTGTTTATTAAATACTGAATTTTAATATTTTATCAAATACTGGTACTGGATAGTAACATGCATTAATTACTTTTTTTAACCAAAGTTATTTGTTTCTACTACAACAGCTTAACATTCACTATTATGGTTACATTAACTATATTTATATAACGTTCACTTATAACTATAACTAACCAAATATGAAATATTAACCCACCTGGTAATAATTTAGATTTTTTTCCCTTCATGTTTGCCTCCCCCTCCCGCCTAAAAATTCTGTAATTTTTCTTTGCTCATTTTTAAAAATGTTATTATCTATCTGTCATGTGTTGTTCAATCATCATGTGGATCAATCAATATAATTTTTTCCTTTTTCTTGGTTAGTTTATTATTTTAATTAAATGTATTAAAATTGGTTATTTCATTTTCAAATTCATTTCAAACACTCAGTGGCTGATTAAGGGAGGGTTTTTTTTTTTGTTTTTTTTTAATTATTCACCTCCCCAAGGCCTGAGGGGGCCACTACAGTCGAGAAAGCTACTCATTTTTTTGCCTTTTTTATTTTTTTTGTTTTAAATTGTGGTACAACCCTCTCTTAACTCTTTAATTCTGAAACACGAACCTTGATAAACAAGATCGCTACGCGGAGAAATTAAGTTGAACGCGGTATTTCCAGGGAAGTGGTGGGAGTTGAACTCCGAGCCTCTCGCATACAAAATGAGCGCTCTTACCACTACATTTAGGATATATAAAATGTTATTAAGGACTTTTTTGTAGACATTTTAGCCTCTAGCACATAAAAAAAAATCCAAAAACATTAATAGCCCCAGACCCCAAAAAGTATTAATCTGACACTAGCAACATTTTTTTTTAAATTTATTAAGGTGCTCCAAGCAGACCTAATGGCTTCTTGGAGCACCTTAACAGTACACTGCCACAAGAAGATTATCATTTAATAAGTGACTTATTAAATGGCCTAAGTTAGCTCTCTGTTTCCAATTTCACCAAAAATGTTTGCTTTGAGTACATCTATAATAATAGACGTGTAGTAATATCTATAATAATAATAAATGTGCTTTATCTATAATAATAATAATAAATGTGCTCTATCTATAATAATAATAAATGTGCTTTATCTATAATAATAATAAATTTGCTTTGAGCGCATCTATAATAATAGATGTATAATAATATCTATAATAATAACAAATATGCTTTGAGATCATCTATAATAATAGACGTTCAAACTTATTTTATATAATTGTCATCATGAATGACAAATAATGCTTTTAACATTTTGAGGTTATGAAAATAACCTTTTTTTTTTAATCAATAAATGTGAAAATAAAGAGCTTAATGTTGGGTTTTAATTTGAATTAACGACTTTCTTTTTCTTTTTGGTAAAGGATTATTTTCAATATCTATGATATTATTGTTGTTAGATTAAACATTACCATTAATTGGACAAACTGAAAACTGCAACTTGATTGTATTGTCGTTGTAGTCAAAATCTCTGATAGACAGATTATCTTTTCTGCGACCAATTGGACATTGTCTTTCAAAATAGTTTTTAAGGTCATCTTGTCAGAACCTCTCAGAAAAAACAAATTAAACTTCTTTAAATGAATTGCACTGTAATTTGCAAACCTTCATAAGTTTGTGAAGAAATAAACATTTTTGATTTTGAGCTTTCATCAAAATTTCCTTGTCGTTGATCTATAGATTCTTTCCACAATTTAAAGTATAGGAGAAAGTTATCTAACCAAGTAAATCGTGAATCATCTACTATTTCATATGGTTTTAAAAATGGCTTTCTTTTTGTTAAATATTCAGCACTAATTTTTACATTTAGACAATCAAAAAACATATCCATCATTAAACAAAATTGCTGCTGTTCCACCAAAAACTGCTGTTCCAGCAGCTTTTGGTGGTCCAAACTGCTTTAAAACATTTCCGACTGTTTCACTGTAAAGTGAAGCTCATAAATATAAAGATTAAAAAAATCAATTCGTTTTTTCAAAGAATCATAAATGAATCTGTCTCTAGTATCTACGTTAATAAGGTCATTATTCCATTTCTTATTTGCATCATTAGTTGGAATAGGAACTTTAAAAATGTTGATACCTTTGTGCCTTCTTGAGGCTGAACAACCAAATATTGCACAATTTTCACCAGGCATATCAAAAAAAATTATTTCAATCAAAACACAAATACAACTTAGTAAAATAACAGGCAAGCGCTAGCAACAACAATCTTTTTGTGCAGGTTCAGAAGGCCGGAAACAAGAAAAAACAGTATGAAAGAGTTAAAACAATACCTTATTGTTCGCTTTTAAACTATTCTTTCTTGTAACTATGATTACAATAAGGTATTTTAAAATATGCAACTGACGCAATTAAAATTTCAACTATGTAAATATCTTTATTGAGTAAAGTTACATTTACTAGACACTTTTTTGTTATGTAACAAAATCTCATAACTTGTTATGTTAGGCCTGGACTTACACCAGGACTTACACCAGGACTTACACCTGGACATTACACCTATACACCCGAATGAAGATGCAGCTGTTACATTGTTTTGCATGTTTGTTGTTTTGTTTTTATATATAAACTATAAAAAGTTTAGTTTGAAAACTATATAGTTTGTTTGAACTCATCCATATTTAAACAAATTTTTTTTTTAATAGTACGAAGTTAGAATGTAGATATAGATTTGTATGTTACATATAAGTGGTTATCATGTGTGATTGAGATTTGATTTTAGAGTTCATAAATATATATAAAAGCAATAAAAGTACTAACAACTTTTGACATGCTTTGTTCATGTATTTTTTTTGTGTTATTTTGTTATGGTCTCAAAATGACGCTAATTCCGGCCATAGAGGGAATTTTACTTTTTGGAAATTTCGATTTCGTCTCAAAGATACTTTTCATAAAACTTTATTTTTAAAAAATATTTTTCCCTACTTTTTACATCATTTTTATATCAATATTATATCACCTAAAAAGATTTTTTTGTTCAATCATTTATTAGGTTTACTCTTATTTCAGTAATAAGTTAGTCTTTTTACAGTATTTATTAATATATTATTTATCTGCTGCTTTTCATATCATTATTATTATTGAGGAGTTTTTATGCTATATTTTCTTACATTCATTATTCAGCTTTTTTTAAATTTTTACATGCACAATTTTTCTTTTTTAAGTATTATTCAGAGAATTTCTTATACCCTTTACTACATGTTTACATTTTTGTGGGTGACATTTTTAATGATTTTTGTGCCAAAGTTTTTGGCTATCATTGATATTTAATTATTCTAATGATTTTGGGTTGCGCAAGTTACTCATTTCTTATTCTTTATGATTGGTTAGCATAATTTGAATGAGGTATCTATGACAGCATTAGAGTTTATAACTTTAATTTATTGTGCTTTCATGCTTTCTTTTGGTAAGTGATTTAATTAGTTATTTTTATTTATTTTGTTTAGATCTACACTTTTAATATCATCAAAAAAATATTGATTCTTTACAAATTTAGAAATGAATTTTGGCTGTTTTAAGGAGTCTTTTTTTACTGCAATATGGAACAGGCGTAAGTCGCAGGCGGTAAAGCATAATTGGAATTGATTTGTCTGACAGGATAAACTAATTATTAGTGCTGACCGTCATCGAAGTGCCAATAATAACAGACGCAACTCCAAGGAGATGTTTATTCTTTAATTGCTACACATATTATGTTTACACATTATCGTTAATGTTTTTTCTCAAATGAGGCTTTACATTTTATATGCATAATTTTGGTCAATATTTTGTTTTGCATGTTAATAATATATTTGATGAGTTTTTTTGCTCATTTTAATTTTTTATAAAAAAATATTTGTTTTTTCAATATTGTAAG